TTGAAGAGTTACCCCTTTATGAAGGCGACCTAGTGGTGTTTGATAAATCCTAAATCAATCCATTCATGTCGGTGTGAGCAGGTGTTATGGAGCTACAGGAGGCCTAGAATTTAAACCATTGTTTTGGATCTGAAGCACTATGCCAAAGAAATATTTTTCATTTTCTAGCATTAAAGCCCATTGGTGCCAATTCATAGAAAATAATTAATATATATAAGAACTCAAACAAATCTTTCTGTATTCTTACCAGAAAGTATTTTTAAAAATCTAAAGGAGGCTATAGTCGGTATATTAGTCCTCTCTTGGTGCTGTAAAATGGGCTCATTAGTCCCTAGTTGTAAGATTGAACAAAGTAACAAAGTATTTTGCACAGTTTTATGCATTTATTTACAGGTATTTTAATCCAAATATAATAAACCTGGTTCTATTAGATGAGGGGTATAAGCAAATTTTTTTTTTGCTGTCAATGACGAAGAGTATAAGAACTGTTAGGAATCAAAATGACGAATATGCAGATTTCTTATTTCTCTCTGTAAAAGTAATTAATTTTGATCTTTTAATGCAAAGTACCAAATGTGTTTATCAAACCGTTTATTGTAAAAGATAAAAGAAGTTACGACTTGGATTATCTGCCGTGTTAATGCTTTGCACCTAACAAATGTTTGTGGAACCGCTCTTTGCATAAAGTGTTGTTAGTGGAGCATAAGCAGACCCTCAGTTACTCTGAAGCTAGGCCAGGACATCTTTCAAGATGGTAACAACTTAGATAAATAAACCAGACGTTTTGGAAGACACACTTCCCATTCCCCACTTAGCCTTCAGTGGCGGCCCAAAGCAGAGGACTTCTTGTGTCATTTCCTTCTGTATAAAGTATTATGTGTGATGGGTGAGGTTTAAACAGTCAGTATGATTTCACTTCCTTCTGGTTGGAAGTGCAATGTATTAGAGGGACATTTAAAAACAAAATGGAGCTACAATCACATGCCATAAAAAGAAATCCCATTGTAACTGTTGGGAAATTTACCAGGTAACCATTTAAATGATACCTTTTGTACTTAAACAAGTTAAAACATTTGGTTTGTTTTCTTTTGAGGGAAATGCCGCAAAGAAAAAGCTCAGCTGTTATGTTCTAATCTCAACATCGCAGGTAGATCAATATGCCCAGATCGCAGCAGAACAAGCTAATTGTGAGGGATTTTCTGTTAATGCTTTGAATAATAGCCTGTTTACTTTCCAATAAGGTGTTGAAATTGACCCGCTTAGTCATCAGTAGGCAACCTAATGGGTTACATTTCTGATGGTGTGGATGACGGCTGAATTAATTACACCACCATAATATACCCTAACCATTCACTCAATTATGAAGAGTCTGCTCCTGTGCTGTACAGAGTCCTCCCCTGATTAGCTCCTTGAATTTGTGGATCTGTGGGTGTCACTGATAGGCCGCGGCATTAAACTGACCCTCTCTGAGAGTGACAGTTTTAAACCCTCAAAGCTAAGAGAGTGAGCGAGGCATGTGTGCTCGCAGAATCCAATTCAGCCTGGACTAAAGAAGAACTGCCTTTCAGCTCTTATCGGGGCGCCAGCAGAACGGGACAGATCACCTCCCACTGCTGAGCTATCAATGTAGAGTTAATTGCCTTGCAGAGAAAAAACAGGAAGATGCCGTGTATCTTCTCTTTTTCATTGTTTGCTTGCTCTTTTCCTTTATCTTTTAAAGTCAATGTAGCACGGCACTGGGCTTGGTCTTTGCTTGGAGTTGTCCCCGTGAGCCTGCAGCCACCCTTTAGATTATTCACTTAAATGATAAGAACAATGGGGTTTGACAAAGAGTGACACAGAGCAGCACTGAGAGGAGAAGAAGAGCTGCAGCGATATAGAGGGATATCCAGATAAGTGGTAAGAGGACGTTATGTAGAGGAGAAAAGGACCTGGCTTGGTTTGTGGACACTATGTTCCATGAGAGAGACCAGGTTGTTCAAGGTCTTCTGCCATACTTGATAGGTTACAGTGGGTGTAGGGGGCCTGATGAGATAAAACACACCAGCAGTTGGCAAGGAAGTCCTTTCAATCTATCGGCCTGTGTTGCAGCTGACTGTGATCCATTAAAGTGTATGTGTGTGTATTATATGTGGAGTGCTAATGGCCTTGTGTTGTAGCCTATTATGATTGCTTCCTCTAAGGACCAGGTCTCCCATGTTTCATTGAATCTGTCGCAGAGGATGTCGGCAGCAAGCCTTTCTCCAGAGTCCAGGGCGAGCATGCTTAATGTGTGGGAACTTGTAGGCCAATTTTCCCAACAGCAGATCACTTACTCGTTTTTTGTTTTTTTCATAGCAAGTTACACTTTAGTAAATACTTCCTACCGACATTTTAGAAAGTTTTAGTCTATTTTGCTGCATTTTGCTTTTTGTTTTGTTTTTTATGAAAGTGAAAGGTTAGAACTGATATTTCAATCATGCGTCACATATTTCACCCAGAAGCCAAGCAGAAATATTTCCTGAAGTCAGAATTCCAAGCAAAATGCAACATGTTTTAAAAGTCGAACATTTTTAAAACTAGCAGCAGCTGCAGGAGTAAAATTTATTTGCAGTTTTGCTAGTTTGAGTCTCTCCAATACTTGCCCACACTGCACTTTGTGCTGATACCGATCTCTAGATTTAGAAAACCGTTAACCTCGCCTGGTAGTTCCAGGAAACATAGCTGACATTTATGCCATAAGGGTGCAACTAATGATTATTTTTCAAATGGATTACACTGTTGAATATTTTTTCAATTAATAGATTAATGATCGGATAGCCATAGGTCCCTGAAAGATGTTTTACAAATAATTGAGGTGAAACTCAAACTTTTTCCACTACATGAGTTCTTGGTAAAGAATAATGAAAGATTAAACTTTTCTTTTTAATCTTAAATGCAAAATGTTTATGTATTTTTTTTACAATTTTGGTATAGTTACTGCTCTAAGTGGGTTGCTCTGTCAGCTAAAATCACATTTTAGAGTCTCTCTACTTCAGTTAACGATCAATCGATTACTAAATTAGTTGATTATTATTTCTGTAATCTATAATCATGATTAATCTGATTATTGTTCAGCCCTAATAAGGATTAATCTTTTTATTTTAATAATCAACTAATTTAGGAATTGATAAACCATTTACTAGAGTTAACATACTATAAAGCAATATCATATGCTAAAACAAGAAGAGACTAATAGCAGTAGTTATGCCACAACTTTACAAAATATGTTTATGCTCTTTGCATCTAACATGAAAACCTTAATTGTCTGTCCTTCTAGAACTGCTTAAGTAACAGTTTTGCTTTATCAGTTTCAAATTCTTTAAAAAGAATTTCCGACTAACCGCCAGAAAGAGATAATACTGACATTCAGACATTTTGAGGGAGGAAAAACACACAGAGGTTCTGTTTTGCGTGGTTCTGCAAATGTCAAACCATTTTGGCAAAGCTCTGCATCTAAACAGCCAGGATGTATGTAGGTCAGGTTTGCCCTGATAGGCTAATATATAAATCTCCATATGCTTGGAAGGCATGAGAACGAAACATGTCAGCGGATATCGGCGCCCAGAAGTCTCTAAGCCTTTTTCCATCATATGCTGTTTCAGACGGTTATCAGCGAGTTGGTGAATGCAGTATTTTTTCTTTTCACCAAAAAATGTTCTAAAAAGATGTGAACTAAATGTGTCGGGTCACTGTGGTTCTCTTTTTTTTAAATAATCTACCACAGATTTGGCTCCAGTTGAGCTTCAGTGTTTGCATGCTGCAGAAGTAAACGGGAACATTGATTTCAGTTAGAGCTTAGCTACTAGTCTCAAGTCCTGCAAGCCTGGCAGTTTGTATAAAATAAGATGAATGTGATGGAAACTGTAATACAATTACTAATGACAAATCGCATCCTGAGGATTTCTGGCTCAGCAGTGTTCCACTGGCATGCACTCGCACACCCTCGCAAACTGCACTTACATGCACATATATTGTACTGAAGCTTGTAGATCATATTGGGATTGCTTTAAAATGGATGCTAATTAGATTTCAGCAGCTGATTGTGTAGCTGAAGGTAGATTCAAATAACTCAGGATTCCTTAGTGTGGCAGTACTTTGGTGTGCTGCTACAAAATCTTCTTTCACCTTTCCTGTTCAACAAGGCAGGAAAATATCTGTTTTCCTTTGGTGTTCCTTAAAATTTCTCATTCAGTATTTTGGATCTGTGCAATGTAATGGATGAAAAGTGTCAGTGACTTGTCTGGTTTGTTAATTTTTTGTTAATTTGTGACTTATTTAGACCGCAAAATCCCCTCATGTTCTGTTCTACTGCTACCTTTTGGTTGATTAACCTTTGCAGGAGTATAATGTAGGTCAACCCACTTTCTAAAGGGAGGCAGCTTCTTTGACCAAATGTTATCTTTGATAAACTCAGAAATATAGTATGCTGTTATGGGATGCACTGGTTAATGTTTGAAACATTAAGCATTAGGTTTCTGAATGGAAATGCACTTAGAAAAAAAGGTTTTACGCTCTTCCTTCTTCACATCTTGTCTTTCTTCCTCTTTACGCACTCATCTGTTTTCCCTCCATTTTCTAACTATAAGCATATTTGTCAAAACATATAATCAACTTAAGACAGTGCAGTAGCTAATGAAAGGAAATCATAGTGCTTCATGAGCTAAAATGTTCCCATTATCAAGTCCTAAAAGCAGCAGCCAGTCAGTTAATTTTGAAACATCATCCCAGTCTCTCTCCTGCTTTGTCTCTTTCATCTTTAAATATTAACCATTTAGTAGTTCCCCTTCTTTTACTGAAAGCTCCTTGGCATACGCTTGGGAAGTTCCCATTGTTAAATCATCTCTAATTTCAATATTTTTATGCTGAATATAGTAGAGAATCTGCTTACATGAAAAGGAAAGCGAGGAAGACCTTGCTCAGGATAGAAAAATGAATAGTTAGCATTTACTCAACTGTTCTTTTCTTTCTTCTGTTTACAGTGAATGAGTATGTGTTCATGGTCCAAGCCAGAGGAATTCAGATCAGAGAGAACGTGAAGAACATAGGGGCTCAGGTTCTGGAGCAAGTTGTGAGAGGGGCCTACAGCATCAATGGCACAGGTAAGAACACACAGGCTTCTTTTAAAGTAGACTTTGATATTTGTTTCAATGATGCTTTTAAAAAGCTGATTTTGGTGGAATTATTACAAACAGAGTAATGTATGAGTGGTTTGGTTTATTGTATTTTTCCAGATAATATACCTTTTTAGTGTTGAGATATCCATCATAGAGAAGCCTGGTTATATTAGCTCTTTTGTTCCCCTTTGCTCATTCTGAGCTTCAGCTTGTCTGTCACTAAAATCTAATCGATGTTATGTGGGGCAGGGAAAGTACTGTAATTTTCGAACTATAAGCCGCAACTTTTTCCCCATTTTTGACCTTGCGGCATATCTATGGACTTTTACGGCTAACGGCCGCTAGGTTAATACCTAAATCTATGGATTTTACCATCCACCATGTTGACGTCACATTTGCTTCAACACAGAAGTACGGTAGCCATGCGCGGGGAAATGAGGAGGTCCTCCGAAAGCAGACTTCTACCGCGAGTGGTACGAGACAGAACAAAAGCGAGAAAGACGGACATAAAACATAAAAAACCTGCGGCTTATAGTACGGTGCGGCTTGTATATGTACAAAACATGCAACTTAGCTTCTGCGGCTTCTATTCAGGTACTGCTAATGGTCCAAAAATCACGGTATATCTAATTGGTCAAGTATACAGATGGATCTCATATTTAGAACCTAATTTAAAAGATAATTATTTCATTCATTCATTTCAAAAAGTACATTTTGCATAGAGTTACGGCATACTGTGATGTATTTCAGATGGTTTTGATGCTGGCAGTTAATAAACAGAATTAGGTTCTGGGAAGAAATTGTATTATTGTTAAGAACAACATATAAAGTATGATTAATGCATAAATGTTGCATCCTACCTAATCGTGGAAGAATGTTGGCTTCAGTTAGCCAACAGGCATTCATTCACACCCATTAGCAAAATAGTCATCGCTGACTCCTTATTTCAAGTGTATGAAAGCAAAGTTCCATAGAAAGGAACAGGTGTCGTAATAAAAGATGCAAAAGCAAAAGAGACGACAGCAGATTTTTCAAGTTATCAACTACAGTAATTCTAGAGCCACAACATATAGAAAAAAAAAAACAGGACATGGATCATAGAAGTTTACTTTGTGGCAGTTGGATCTTATGTTTTTAAAGTTGTTTTAATTAATTCTTCTTCAGATTGTGGTGTCAGCTCCTTAGATTAAAGGTAAAGGTGGTTTAATTTTTTGGACAGATCCAGTTTTATCAGTGTGGGTGGAGTAAACGTTCTGTTTGTAACTGCAGACTCAAGCTACCTGCTGTTTTGTTCCTACTTCATTAAACTAACCCTTTGAACTAGTTGTTCCATTTTTTAGAATCCGATCTGGAACAGTATGTTTTAGTGAACAGAATAGCTCTGAACTCAGTTTGCTCCTAGCTGTCTGGCTGAAGCTTCTATCAGGCTGAGCTTTCCTCTTCAAACCACTCCTAAAGGCTCGGTCACTCTTAGCTAATGTTCAATATTTTTATTTATGATGTACAAATCTATCTCTAGCTAAAAACATGGAAATCCACTGGTAGTAGACAATACAACTTGGATGAGGTTAATTTTTTTTTACTTTAAGGGAAATAAGATAATTGGGGGGAAGCAGACTTGGTAACTTCGTGTAGCAGTGCAATTGCTCGTTTAAATTCTTTCATTTATTGTAAGGACTATTAGGGTCATTTTTGATCAAGTGGGTCGCTGCATTAGCTCATTCGAGCTTCTTACTACTGATGAGACCAAATGGGCCTGAACTGGCCAGGAAACGTACAGTATTATAAATGGGAGCCCTGGATATGCATTCAGTATCTATACTATAATGGATGCACTTTTCAATAGGTTGATATTTCTATGTTAAAAAAATATATGTTTATTGATCTAATTCTAATTAAGTGAGAAATAAAATGTAGTCCCTTATGATTTGTGAGCCCTAATCATGAAATTCCTGGAAACAAATAATGTAATGAACCTAGAGCCTGAGAAGACACTAACAGACAAAGTGCTGTCAGTTAGAGGAACTAAGTATTGAAACAGCCTTCCACTGGCAATTTGAGGCCTACAGACTGATCAAACTTTCCAACTACATCTCAAAACGTGAAACAAAATCTAGCTTGTGATTCCCTTTAACCATTGTTTCACATTCTGTCTATCTGTGCTTATGCAATCTGTCTCTAGTGTGTGTCTTCTGGGAACTACAGAATAATTACAGCTGTATTTATCGCAGATGATCACTGATATGCATTGTTGCCAATAAATAATGATAAAGTAAATGAGTTTGACTTTTTGGATTGAGTTCATGAAAAATCAGCTAGGAAGATCTGCTGTCACTCAAAGAGGAAAGTTAAAAATAAAGAGTTCCAGTTTTGTAGAATTTCTGATTTACCGTTAATGACGTATGTTTGAGTCCTTAGAGATTTTACTGCTGGGAAAGGAAGTGAGAAAAGATCACTAGAGCTAAATACTGAAGAATGAAGAAAAAAAAAAGTGAATTTCCTTCTGACGCGTTGCTTAAATTTGTTTTGTTTGTGACACCAGATTATTCCTATGACTTCAACTTCAGTGAGAGCGATGCTCCTCCCACCACATACCTCCCTGAGGGTTTCACATACCTCCCTTCGCAGGTTTGCCCCGAGAAGCTGCCCTCTATGAGTAAGCACACTGTTCATATTCTGGGATAGACTTCTGTTTTATAGCTCTGCCTTAAGTATAAGCAAAAAATGATATTTGGCAATGAATAATAGATTAAAATATGTCACCCTTTATTCAATATTCATTTCTGTCATTGTTTTCACCTGATTCTCACAATTCTCTTCCTTTCTCCTGTTCTGGCATTTTCTTTTGCCTCCTACATCGTCTAACTTTGATTTATTTTTCTCTCTCCCTGCCTCCTTCCTATCTCAGAGGGCAGGTTGGAAGTGAACATGACTGAAATATCTCTGGAGGAGGTCGAACGGTCGTTGCTGGAGAGAGTGCCCCGTATGGCCCGGGGAGGCTTCTGGAAGCCCAAAGACTGTTTACCTCGCTGGAAGGTAAGATGATCTTTTTAAGAGGAGAGCAGGTGAAAAAACACAAACATTGCTACTTTTTGGGGCTCAAACTGTTTTACCAGTCGCTCCTGAAATATTGTGGGACTTATAGGAGAAATAAATTCCTACAACAATGTCCAATTACAATCTGCAGGTAAAATTTTTATGTTTAATTTTCATTCCTCTACCTTAAGCCATGAACTGTTAGCTATATGACAGTATAATAGAGTTCTAAAAATATGTGATCATGAAAAACACAAAGCCATGGTAAAACCAAAACAAAGCTCCCCCATCAGCTGTATTTGTGGAGCTAATGCAAGTTACAGCTAGAATCTCTCTGTAGGATGTAGTATTAATTTCGTTAATGAAAACTAAACGAAAATATTTTCGTCAACGCACATTTTTCACCGAATGAAAATGAGACAAGATGAGACTAAAGTAAAAGGTTGATGTCCTGACTAAAACTAGATTAAAACGTTGACAGTTTTTGTTGACTAAAACTAAACAAATAAAATTATGTTTTCTTGGACTAAAATAAAGACTAAAATGCTCGACTTATAGTCAACTAAAATTAGACAAAATAAAAATGGGATGATGTCGACTAAATGTGATAAAAACTAACGAGCAATGCTGAAACTGGACTAAAACTGAAACTAAATTTAAAAATGGCTGGTAAAATTAACACTAGTAGGATGGTTACCAGATGAATTAAAATTATAAAAGCAAAAATTTTGATCACCCAGAACTGATTTTGTGCATTTTTTTTTTTTACTATAACCTGTAACAAACCTTAGTGCATTTGGTTTTAAATGCTTAACTTTCAAAAGAAGAAAGATAAAATATGTAAAATAAATTAATTTATCCTACACTGGAATCATCTTGCAGAGGATGAGTTCATATGAAAAAAAGGCTTGAACATTAGTAACATTAGTTCTTTTTCACTGTGTTTAAAGGGCTCATTCTCTGACTGCAGGGTGAACTGTGACACAAGCAGGCTTCTCCTTTCTTACCCACCCTTGTTTTTTCTTTGGGCTGGGTTAATGCAACACAGCACTTCTGTTTATTAGTGGATTAGTAGAGTCTGTGTTTCACTGGGATGTTATATAGAGTAATTAACCAGCATGTTTTTTATATGCTCTGTTCACTTTAATAGTAATGTGGTGTTTATTCTTTGATGTAGAGCTATGCAGCAGCTTGTTTAAGAAGTGAGCAAAGCAATTAGACCCATCCCTTGCCTCTAAATGCCGCAGACACATTTCTGTTTGTTTTAACCCAGTTTTTTTTTTTTTTTTTATTATTATTATTATTTCAGGAAAAGCTCCTTTCTGTTTGTGGGCCTTTTATATTAGCTCTACAAACTCTTAGATCAATAGTTTGTTTGTAGGCAGCAGCTGTTTTCTCATTGTTTATAAACTAATCCGTGTCATTTTATCCTTTTTCTTCCTCAAAAAGTTGAGTTTATTTTGTTTTTTGGCTAAAATTCTTACTTTATCACCCATTGTCTTATCAGTTGCAGGTCTTAAATTCCATCAGGCTTATTTCATGTCACGATCCTAAATATTAACTTTTTTGGAGCAGTTGGTTCTCCATCATAAACCGTTGAGCTTACCAGCATGCTCAATAAGTGCTGTTTCTTCTGTTCTTTGATGTTTTTAGTTGATATCTGCTTGATTGTTTGCTTCTTGGCATCCCTAGGTGGCAGTCCTTGTTCCATTCAGGAACCGTCATGAACACTTGCCCATCCTACTGAGACACCTGGTGCCTGTGCTGCAAAAGCAGAGACTCCAGTTTGCCTTTTATGTCATTGAGCAGGTATGTATTCACATGCACAGCCGATTACATACAGAAACTTGCAACTGAAACCATTTCAGCTCCTTTTTTTTCTGGAAGAAAAACAGGTTGATATTTTATTTAATGATGTTTTATTTCCCTCCTATGTTTATTTCAGGGAGGAACAGAACCATTTAACAGAGCCATGTTGTTCAACGTGGGCTTTAAGGAGGCCATGAAGGACCTGGACTGGGACTGTCTGATCTTCCATGATGTTGACCACCTCATGGAGAACGACAGGAACTACTACGGCTGCACAGACATGCCTCGACATTTTGCTGTCAAACTTGACAAGTACTCCTACATGTGAGTGTCTGTCCACTGTCTATGGAGAAAATGATGCTTTTACACCGAGTCACTCCAATATGTGTAATTATCCTCCCCAAGGCTTCCGTATAATGAGTTCTTTGGTGGTGTCAGTGGCCTGACGGTGAAGCAGTTCAAAAGAATTAATGGATTTCCCAATGCGTTTTGGGGCTGGGGAGGCGAGGACGATGACCTCTGGAACAGGTAGAGAAAACACCACAGAAAAAACACGCTGCAGCTTATCTGATGGAGCTGCAGCAGCAGGCCGACTACATTGTTGGCTTTAGACATCTTTTTTAGATAAGTTAGCCCAGTCGACACATAAACAAGCCTTTGTGTTAGTTTTTTCTTTGCCTTCATGTGACTTTCAGCCTTGCAGCAATCCCCAACCCCCCGACCGACACTGCTGCATACCTTAAGGGCATCCTGTATTCCTGCATAATCTGCTATCTCTATCAGATGAACTTTTTTCCTGCCAGTTTTGGGAATGAAATTTCGATGTTGTGTTGTTGAAAAACAACACTGTGTTACATATATATACATATATATATATGTTGTGTTTGCACAGGGTGCAGTTTGCCAATTACAGTGTAAGCAGACCGTATGGAGACCTGGGACGCTACATGTCCATCCCGCATCATCACCGCGGAGAAGCCCAGTTCCTGGGAAGGTGGGTGTTCAAATGCACGCAAGGCTCATTCCTAATTACCCCGCCACCCCCTCCTCCCAAGGACGTGTGGTTGAAGAAGGAGCTGATAAGACGAGCGAGGCTTACACTCATGTGATTCAATCCAGTCACATGAAAAGGCAGAGTGGTGACTTTGAGAGAGTTTCAACTCCTTTAAAGCCTTTTCATGTGATGTTCTTGAATTCTTTGGATTCTAAAGTGACTTATAATAAGCAGAGTCATAACTGTTACGCTGAGAAACTATAAAAAGAGGGTAAAATACAAAAGCCCTTTGTTCTCACGTTTTGTCATCCACCAACGGTTTGTTTTATTAGAATTTTATCTGACCGACCAGATTTCTTTCCAAAATTACAATGAATAGCTGTGGTGTGTATTTGTAATTAGGCCTGCCCGGGTCAACACTCAAAACCTCTTCCTCTATAATTACAGTTGTCAGTGTTTTGATGTATGTCTTCTCACTTTGAACGATTTTAAGAATGAAATTATTCCTCATTCCTGTTTGTAAAGAACAGGAAGCTTTCTGCATTTCAGGTTACTAATAAGATTTCACTTTTGATTGGGAGAACCTAACGTTAAAATGTTTTCACTGATATTTGCCACTAACTGGTCATTATCCTGCTCTAAGGTGCCGCAGTGTCTAGTTTTTTGGATCGCCCTGCATTTAGCCCCATCAATCATCAGCTCTCTACAGATAGCTTGTCTGTGTTACAGAAGAGCATCCCTGTATCAATGCCGCCACCACCATGTTTCACTACGGAGATGGTGTTTTTAGGGCCCTGTTCAGTTTTTTTTTTCTTCCTCATTTTGGTTTGGTTAAATAGCTTGTGTGAACTTAAAATGGCAAATTAGCTCTCCAGATTTAACAAAAGGATCAAATTTGAAAGTTAAGAATTTTTATATTCAAATTTCAGGTTATAAGTGACCAACTGGAATATATTCTACATACTTTTTCACTGAGTTTTATTTCCCTCACATCTGTCTAAACTTTTTATTATTCACCAATACTGTGTTGCATTTCACCATTTCTTGCCACCATCTAATTTATACTTGTATTTTTGCAGTTTTCTGATGTTTAGATTAATTACTACTTCTCTTTTTTTGTTACACCTACAGGTATAGTCTACTACGTCACTCAAAGGAGAGACAGAGTGTGGATGGTCTTAATAATCTAAACTACTCGCCCCTAATTTCAAGAAGTCCCCTCTTCACCAACATCACAGTCAGCTTGAGCAGAAAGCTTGCACCCGTGGCTGACTACTGACGTAGGCAGAGCTGGACTGCAAAACACCTGGGAATAAAAAGTCCTCTGGGACATCAGCCATATCTCACCAGTTGCGGCACTGCTTAGGACATTTTTTTTTCTTTTTTGTTTTGCTTTGTGTTTTTTGTTTGTTTGTATGCAAAAAAAAGAAAAGGAGACTAAAATTAGTATGTTTGATAATTCATCTAAAAAAATAGGGATAAATGCTGCACTTATTCGTGCCACAGTTCATTACTCTTCATCTGGGCTTGTGTACACGTCAGTCTCCACATGCCTTTTGCACCATTTTGGCCTTCAGCATCCCATTTGTCAAGTTTGTTCCTAATTTTTCGCTCTTGATTAGCTCTGCCCTGAGCTGTTGTGCTTGATTACTGAATTAGGTTACACATTCAAGCGCGCACACACTGGCTATACATGTAGGCACACAGGAATATGTACTTGCATGTGCTCACATGGGGGGCAGGAGCTGGGATTTATATCTTTTTTTTATTATTATTATTATTTTGGTTCTACTCTTCTGATTTCGTAAATGCAGTAAGCCTGTGGAAAAAAAAATGCATGCACACACAGAACCCTTGCAGCATCACACAGGAACTTCACTTTAGTTGATTTGTGCAGCTGGTTCTGCAATGGTTATGCCAAATCCGCAAGTAAAGATAGTTAGAGAAGATGATATATTGTATGAGAAATAGTTTATTCCAAGTTCTGAGAATATAATTTCCTTGATCATCTGTTTTTGGTTTAGTGAACATACCATTTAAAGACTGTGATGTTTGTGTTTGCATCGTTCCATTGAATGTTCTGGCTGCCTGCTAGTGGCTGTATGTTGGAGTGCAATGCTCATCCTGTTAGCAATAAGCTGTAATATCAGACAGCAGAAATTAGCCCTAACTTCCTTATTGTACAGATGCAATAGCATGGGTGCTAGCATTCCCTTGTTGGACTACGGAAAAGGAGTGACTGCGTATGCAAACTTAAAATTCAGCACGCTTTGCTTAAGCAAAACGTGGTGCCCCTTTTCTTTTTCAGAACTCACGTGTTCCTTGTGTCTGTGTGCGAGTGAGGGCAAGCTATGCAAATGGCCTGCATGCATCTGGTCGCCAGGGAAGGAGGAGACGCCGTCTCCGAACTCCTGTCTGGCTGACTTTAGACCTCACTCTGTGTGCAGCCTGTAAATCTAGGCCAGAAAGAAATAGGTGTATTTTTAGACCCCCTTTGTTCCTAATGTTTACTCACCTTCAGTTTTTTACAACAGAGAATTGGAGGTAGTGAATACTTGACTGGTGTAACTGTCACTGGTGTTTACAGAAGCTTTAGCTTTATTTTTCCGATTGTCTAGTGTTTGTAATCGGCTCTCCTCCTCCCAGGTTGCTGCGAACAGTTTGTGTCCAGCATCTCCTTTGCGGCTGCCTTCGTTCCCCTTTTATATTAAACTGACACTTGTTTTGCTTACATAGAGAAAAAGGCGGATCTAAATGCTCATTCACATGTGTCATGTAATAAGTACTGATTGGCTGTGTCCAGGCTCTCCTTTGTTTGAATCAGACTTTGAAGTGTTGATCTAGATTGAGACTTATCTGTATTTTTGGAGAGGAGTGCGGCCTGACTCTGTTCTACAGCACAAAATGTCAGTCCTCTCAAGAAATGCAGCAGCTCCTCTCCTGTTTGTTTATCAGTGTTGATTTTGCTTTTTGTTTTTTTGAGGGGTGTCGAATATCCCCAAACTAATGTAGTTTCACTTTTAATATGTCAAACAGACATACTATCCTCACTGTCTTCTTGTCATGCAGCTACATCATTTCACACAAATCGCCTTGTATACATTTCTAATCTCCTGGGAGACATGTACGTAATGGACAAAGCTGTTGGATTTCAATGATAAAATACAAACTAAAGGGGCTGGACCTCTTGTCTATTTATTTGATAAATTACTTGCTTTTAATTGTTCAGTTTTTATTTTTTCTTGTGGGTTGACGTGAAGATTTAGGAAGTGACAGACTGTGTTAGATGCACTGAAACCTAGACGTGTGTGTAATAGCGTGGGATCCTGAGGTTTGGTTCTGTGAAAATGAGGGTGACTCCATTTCATTGTGAGACGGATATCTTGCCTTTCTAAGAATTGCAGGAATGGTTTTGCTGTAATGAGGTGAAATGAGATGGAATAGCACCCATACTGTAGCTTGGTGTTATTACTCTTCTGAGCAGACGCGTTGGAGGAAGCCATTTTGTGTGATAACCACTGGAAGAGCAAGACAGAGTTTTAAAAATGCTAGTGGCCATTGCCTTTCACTGATCACCTCCATTATGCTGATGATAATCGATGGTAGTGACCTGCCGGAGCTCCCTCCGGGGGACATGCTTACTGGGGCCAATTTTACCATCAAGTAGTCTGATACTGAGCTGCAGAAACATTGAGACTTCTGGCTGTTTCATTTAGTTTCGTCATCTTTTCATTTTTCATGTGGGCTCAATATAATTTCTCATTACATATATCGTATGAACAGAGGATCTTAGAAGTGCTCGCTATCCTTTTTCAAATACCAGGTTTCTGTTTAGATATGTTGACCATTTCGCCATATATGTCCTGTATAGTGGAACTAAAAAATTGGACAAAGTAAAAATTACAAATAAGTGTACCCAGCTGCATTTTGATTCACAATTTCAGCCATTCTGTCTTTGGAAGTACTAGAACAGCATGCTGGGTCTCCACATTTGTTCACTTTGAGGCATGCTTGGATGCATATTGATGGAAAAATAAAACCATTCCTCATCTTCAGCTTTAAAGCAGAAAAATTAGATCAAACTATGAATCATAAGAGTTTTTCCTCACTTTCGTCTGCCTTGATATAATAAGCTGCAGCTTCATCTGAAGAAAGGAAACTTCAGGGCATGATTTGGTATTTGGTACTCAGTTTTTGGCAGAATGTGTTGTTTTGATCCTCAACAGCCTTAATGACCTAAACTTTTGAATTGTTAAACATTTTGGTATCAAATATTTTAGGAAAATTGAGCAAGGCTTGAATTTATTTAGTATAAAATGTCTTCTTGGAGAATAATATTGTCACATCAGGCAGCCTCTGTGGTTAACATCTTGGTTTGCCTTGTACAGTATGTCACCAATGCCCCATCCTGTCCTCCAAGTATCGATGACTCATCTTTACTTATACCATGGAGTACATATAATATATATACCTTTTTACAATTACAGGGTTTTTGCAAATTATAAATAGAATTGTCATCTGGCTTCATGCTGCAGATAAAAAAATATCTGACTTCTATTTCAGGTTAATCAAATTCACAATATTTGGTGGCAGATTTGATCTAGAAACGACTAAATGCTGAAACTGAATCAAAATACACTGGATGAACACTTTGAGATACAGGGTTAAGAAATGCTTTATCAATCTTTTTTCTAACACAACAACCTGGCATTTTAATGAGTGCGTGTGCTTCAGACAGCACCTCTGTGTGTATATATATATATATTTAGAAAAAAGCTCTAGTTTATTCCCAGAAAGGAAGCATGCATTTACCTTCCAGCTCCAGACTAGGGAGGTGCCCAGTGCAAGTCATGGACAATAGCAAGCAGTTGTGTTAAGTTTTCTTTTCCATGTGTGTTTGAGTGAAATGGCTTAAACCTGTCAGAGGTGCAACCATCCTCCATATAATCTTATTTTCCAAGCTTTTTTTATTATTATTTGTAAAAAGAAAATTCCGTTTTGTTTACCAGCACTGATGAGAACACATTTTTTTTATGTTTTTTTTTTGTTGTTATTGTTTCCTGGTTGTGAACAACTGGCAAGTTCTCCATGTAGTTAATGACATGTACATGATACTCTGTATACTATCGCTAAACATATATATATATATATATATATATATATATATATCATTTTAAAAAAAAATTATTGCTTTAAATTAAAAGCTAAATGGACATCTAGCCAAGCCAAATGGTTTTTAGTGTGAGTGTTCAGGTGAAGATTCAGACTGTGAGTTACACCCTCAATCTACAGAGGCCCTCAGCATTCTCAGAGTCAGTATTAGGCTCTATATTTACATTACACCACAAGCAGCCGCATCAGCTCTACACTTTAAAGATGTATTTTCTTTGATAACTACTGAACAGCTTTGGCCACTAGTTTACTCATCAGGGGAGTTGAACTGGGAACTGATTCCTGTGTGAAGATAGCAGGCACGACCTGCCGCTCCCTAAAGAGGCTTCTTCATATCTTGATCTCACCTGTCCTGATCCGTTCAGTGCCAGTTTAAATGAAGGGACCATTCTTTGGGCATCTGACAAGACTGGCAGCCTTAAAGCTTTTTAATTTATTGCGGTTTTATTTTGTTCTGTGTTTTTTCACTTGAGTTTTCATTTTATTTTTTTTTATAAGCAAGAATATTTAAATTTAAAGAAGTGCATATCAAGAAGATAATTGTAAATATCGTTGTTGTGTGTAGTGTTTTAGAAATTCTATTAAGGTCTTAAATCACTACAGATGCTAGCATAAAGAACAAGGCTTCGGGGGGGTGGGGGGGTGCCTGGGTCGGGGTTTATCTGGTGCCATTTAAATGCTAGTGGAGCTTACACATCAATGTTTTTACATCACTGCTTCCGAGCACAAACGGTTTCTTTTTCTTAAAAAAATAAAATATAAAATTTGAAATTACTCACATGATCACAAAGTTTTGCGACTTCCAGTGTCTGCAACTTCCCTGACTGATGAGACGCCTCAAGTTTGGGTGTGGATTCTTAAATAAGAATGCCTGTGTCAGTGGGCAGCAGCAAGGTCACTGGAATGCATTACTACATGATTATATTATTATTTCAGGCAAAAAAAAAAAAAAAATGTCTTAAATAGCAAAGAAACAAAGGCACCAAAACCCAACGACACAATTCACTTCAAAATGCTAAAGGACGTCATTTTATTTTGTATGAAACTATTCAAGAAGAAAACCGAAAAAAGGAGACGGCTTGCTAAAAATCTTCAAAATATTTATTCTTTGATTGTAAGGAGTAACACGTCTCCTTGAATTGAAGCCATTTGAAGCCACTTGTCAAAACTTGATGTCAGCCTTATGTGGATCTGTTTGTGTATCAGCATATTATCTTTTGATTATTGAAATTTGTATGATGGAGATTTTCTTTTATACCATCATTGTTATTGTCAGAAGTACACCAATAAAATGGAAACTTGTGAAGTCTTTCTGCAGAGATCATTTCTATTTTGGGTTATGTTGGTTTTTTTTTTTTCCATTGTTAAAAAGAGTTCTTTAGAACTCACACTGTGGTGTCACTACACATACATGACGCTGCTAAGTGTGGTTTTTCCGCACATTGCAAATTGAGTGCATTCACAGACCTGCATTGTGGTTTCCTGTAAAGACACATTAAGTTTGCATTTCATCACTCAGAGGAACAAAAAGATTAACTGACCACAGTTATGGACATAAGCTGCTGGTAATAGCTCAAATAGGAGTGTTAAAATTTCATTTAAAACAGTAAACTCAGCTGAAGCCTGACTGGATAATGGCTGGTTATTTTGGTGGGGTAGATGCAAAACTGGAATGCGCCGTAAAGCTCATTTCAATACGCTAAAATTATTTTAAGATCCTTGTTTGCACCATCACAGAGGAGCTTAGCACTGCAGCAGAGAGATGAACAGCATCATGTCTCCTCTTTGACGCTCTGACAAAGGTTTATTTGTCCGTGTTCCTTTGGCTCAGACCCTAGTTCCTTTTTATCCACTTTGTAATAAAATTACCACCATCGTCCGACCAGATTCCTGTTCAGATTATGAACTTTCTATAATTGTACTATTCAACACTTGTGTGACTGAATCCTGACATCCAACCCCTCCACCATGCACACATTCAGAGACAGAAGTGGCTCTTGTTTTTGTCCTGCAGCCCCGTCACCCAGTATGTCAAATAAAACGCAAAATGAGACGCTTTCACTGGAGTCCCCTTAAGATTCATTGAATCAGAGCAGCTCCAGCCCTGTGGCGTTTAGCACATTAGATGCGCATTCCTGCTGGTTAACGGAAGTGACAGCTAATGATTTAATTATACACAGAAAGGAAAATACTGTGCGGCAGGAATCGGACACAATAATGTTTCTTTCAGAATATTTGCCGGAGACGTATACCCTTTCCCACGGTAAGTTTAAAACAATATTGGAAATAAAGAGGCTATTTATATATCTAAAAATTGAAATCTATTAAATAATAGTACATTGTGTTAAAAAAAGAAAATTAACAGAAACAAAGGAGTTCAGTGTAGCTATGTCGCAATTGAATCTAAGAAACAAGGCCATGGCATGCTTGCATGGTATCACTTAGCTGTCACAGAGCAGCTCTTAAGATCTCAAGAGCCTTCCTGGCATGTGTGCACAGATGCACACACACACATCCATTATGAATCATCCATACACACCCCCTGAGTGTTGCGCCGCTTGGAGACTTTGATGTCATCTGTAGTGCTTCTGCCTTTGTGCTTGGCTTGTGTATCTGTTTCAGTCCAATTTTCCCTACAGGGTGTCTTAAACTGGGATCTGCAACAAAATTTAGTTGTTACTCGATTTGTAGCTTGCAGTTGCATCTTTATCTTTACTTTCACTGAGCTCTTGCCTTTGTCTTTTTGTTTGCTTGTGTGCATTTAAACACATATTACGTGCAAAAGGAAAAAGAAAACATTTTCTGTCTTCCCACAGCAGTCGTTTTAATAGTACATACAGCTTTTTGTCACTTGGCTGCCGTTTGTGATCTAATAGGTTAACCCAAATGTTAATCGTAGGCCTGCAACTAACGATTATTTTGCAAACGATCATCTGTCAATTATTTTATTTTTTTATCAATCAATTAATAATCTGACAGTAAAAGGTTCCTTAAAGATTGTTTTTACAAAATAAAACCAGGTGAAACTCCAAAGTTTTCCACCTAAGGGGTCTAGGATAGATTGTATTCGCAGACAAAAACGTTTTTTTTTTTATCTTAAGTGCAAAATGTTTGTATATCTTAAAAAGTTTGATTTTTTTATTACTGCTCTAGACGTTTTAGCGTCTCTATACTCCAGATAATGATTAATCGATTACTGAATTAGTTTATTTTAATAATCAATCATGATTAATCCGATCAATTGTTCAAGCCCTAATTAAATGTTTAGATTATTTTACTACATTTCATTAAGAGAAACTTGGATAACTTTTTCTTCATTTGAACATTCAGTAGGTGGCTTTATTGGCATTATTCAGCTCATCTGGTTTATCTCATCTTCCTCTCCACATCACCCTATCGATTCACAAAGAGGTTCACGCCAGGCAAGTTTGCTGGCTGGTGAGCACAATAACAGCATGGTCATTGAACCCAGTACCTTTGGGATCATGGGCAGGTCCAAGTCCTGCTGGAAAATGTAGTAATCACTTAATCATCACTCTAAAGCCTCAGTCCTCTTAAATGTCCTATGATTATGTTTCTGCCAGTGGACAGGAACACCAGGAAATCACATGGCTCCCACAATCATAACTGGCTTCACGCTAGAACAAATTAAAAACTTAGATTCTGTGCAGTCTAGTTTTTCTCTGAATGATAAGGCAAGGCCTTATCCCGGATAAAAGGCTTTTGATATTATCTCTAGTAATCTCTAGTAGCGATTTAACAAAAGGATTTTGACAGTTGCAACCCATATCCTGGAAACCTGTGTGTTTGGCTTTTGGAGCAAATACTTCAGCAGCAGGCCACACCTCGTAAATCTGAATCAAACTATCAAATAGGTGGTGGTGGTGGACACAGGTTTTTTTTTTGGTTTTTTTTCTGCACCGTTTAATTTCACTCAACCTTCAATTAATAGGTTTATGTTCAGCACTTTGAGCTTCTAGCCGATGCACCTTTGCAGTTTGTCTCAGTGAATGCTGAGTCAAACCAACAATCTTATGACTAGTTTTAATAAATGCAATATTAAGGCATCAAAAGGTAGTTTAGTTAGCTTAGTTGAATTTTAGGGCTGCAGAATGATGCAATGTGTAGCGTTGTTGCTTTACTGGTTTGACTCCTGGCTGAGGGCCTTTCTTCATGGAGTTTGCATGTTTCCCAGTGCATCATGGGCTCCTTCTCTAGACACTGCCTTCTTACCAAAGTCCAAAACAATACTGTTAGGTGACTTAGCATCTTTAAATTCTGTGCATGTTTGTGTATGCATGGTTGTCTCTATGTTGCCCTGCGACAGACTGGCGACTTGTCCATTTAATCCACAGACAGCAGCAGCTAGTCTTTCTGTGACTCCTGAATCTTTTTTGAATAACTGAGCTAACACATCAAGCTGGAAATGTTATAGAGCTTACTAAATAAGCCTTCCATTGATTTTAATTTACTAAAATATACATGCATATTTCTGATGTTGCACCTCAGAAACTTAAACCCTTTATTTCCTAAGAAAACTCATGTCTGTATCAAAAGGATATATTTTAGTAGATTCTTGCTTCATGCAGCAAAATTCTTGTAAATCATTGATTTTCCTCCACATCCTGACTGATTGTAGATTGATGGAGTTTAAACTCTGTTGTTAAAGGTACAGGATGAAACGCTGCTGGAGCAACTGCTGATCTTAGATCAGGGGTCATCATATTTGCTCCTCTAAAGGCTTATTAAAACTCATTTAATTCTGAAGAATTTGAAAGTTTACTAGTAGCAGACATTTTTGGAGGAGGGAGGAGGTCAACTTCAAGAATTGAGTCTGATGATCAGTCTAATCAGGGATTTATACAGTTATCCATAAAGTAAAACACAGACTGTTTAAATAACAACACAAAAGGGGTATAAACTTTTAATATATATAAAAAATAATTTTTTATATCTGCATTTTAATAAAATAGGTATTTAGCAAGTTGGTATTCTTTCTCCATAAGCTTTAATGTCATTGCAGAAATCAAACATTTACTGACTGAATGTTTCGTGTGTTGTCGTGTTTAAAGGTTAGTGATGAACTGCTCATCTTCTAGGCTGGAGAGCCTCATGCGCTCACTGATCTTTAGCTCCCTGAGTGTTTAGATTCAGCCCAGCGCTGACTGAGCCATTTAATTTATTATTATTTCCAGTCAGAAAATTAAAAGATCACTTTCAAGCTAAATCTGCAAGCTAAATGCATCATTTTGAGATACACAGCACTCCAACTATCCTTAAGGCACTGGTTTCTTCAGCAGCCACGTTTTTCTTTTTTCCTTTTGGTTCTTCATCAGGGTCTTTGAGCCAAATGGTTTATTTTAATTAAAATGAAAACACACACACACACACAAAAAATGAAATCATATGAACTAATCACATATTCACACATGCAGTGGCTTTATTGTTGACCAGTAAGCAATCAAGGGGATGGTGCTTTCGGATTGGTTAAAAAAGAAGCCAAATAGGCTCTGGTCTGTACCTCTAGAGGCTAAAGGGAAAATAACCTTACACATCTAAAAATAATGAATTTATTATGGTTCACAGAGAAATGCAGACACTTCACACACCAGGAACTGAAAGAAACTATTTCCAAATTCCATATTTAAGGATTAAAATCATGTTTAACAAATGCTGGCATCAAAACAATCTCCTGCCTGCAAAATGTAAAATTCAAAATGTGCAAAATGAGCAGCCAAACTGTCTCTTTGGGATATAAAGCATTAAAGTATTATTTCTCTCTGAAGGTTTGTGCACTTTAAAGTACCAAGAAGGATTTGTTTAACCCTAAAAGAAAAAAAGCATGAAAACCATGTGACTTCTCACTTCATGGGTTCTATGAATACTTCTTGATTTGAAGCTGATGTTGTGAGGAGATAAAGATGAGGAAGCTGAATAATTTTGCACAGAACACGAGATGCAGCTTGAAAATCTCATATGCTCTATGAAAACCCTGAAACAAGCTCCATTTATTAAGACTTACATT